GCCCCCTGCCCTCTCTTAAATCCAATTTTATTAATTTGGTCTTGAAATACAAATCTAGGCTTTCCTATGGTCCTCTATCTGCTTAATTAGCATCTTATATGGCCTTACTTCCCTTAGGTTATTTTATTTACATGTTCATGATTCGTTAGCTTATTTCCCAACACCCACCTGGCGCTCTACTGTATCAAGACTCAACATTACTCTTTACTTGTTCCTTATTTTATTCCATCTATGCACTTTCTAATTGCTCACAAGTTAAGATAGCTACATTCATACATACAAGCATGCATTCATTCATTGTTTGGTTTATATATATATACCCTGCCTCATTCCCAAAAGTACTGCAGATAATCTACAATGCAAACATGTTTCAGGTGGCCTACAATGAAACCATGGAACACAAATTAATAGTAAAATAGAAATAAAGAGGTGCCAAGGAAAGTAAGAAAGACTAAGTCTGCGTATAACTTTTGACTCCCCAAAAACTTTACTAATAACCTACTGTTGACTGAAGCCTTACTGATAACATAAACAGTGATTAACGCATATTTTTTATGTTATATGTATTGCATACTGTATTCTTACAATAAAGTAAGCTAGAGAAAAAAAAAGTAAAGACTAGAAGGTAAAAAATAGGAAAAGACACAAAGAACACCAAGGGCAGACCATTAAAGGTTACACAGAGGCTTCATTCTGGTATTCAGCTTGGCTCTGTGATTTCTGGAAACCAAAGTGCAAACAAAAACAAAAGTCAAAGAAGGTTTTTTGTACCATTTGAGGAAATGTCAGTAAGAATTTTGTGGCCTGTGAAAGTCTATGTTCTAAAGGTTACTTAGAGAAACAATTCTAAGACTACAAAATATCTTCTACATTATAATAACTAAATAAGCCTCCAAGCATCAGGGGGGCAAATCAGCTCAGGAATTTCAAATTTACATAAAAACATGTTGATAACTAAGAATGTGTTTGTAGCTACCAACTTCTCACCATTTCATCAGCCAAAATACCATTGACTCCATTTTCATACAAAGAGATCAACCAGTTCAGTCCTCGAATCTGATAATCTCTCAGTGGTCCTCCTTTCACATCTGGGAAAAAAAAAAAAAACAAGGATGTCTCAAACTTTCATTAATCCATTCACGTAAAAGTTTTTTGAAAACCAAACTGAAAAAGAAATCACCAATGTACTTACACGAAGGTGACACTTCAAACCTAATACACACATTGGATGTTTTCCGACTCTCCGACAGTAGTTCTTCATCTTCTTCTTGTTCTGTGCGCCTGTGGCGGTAGCTGAAATAAAAAAAGAAATGCCTTCATATTCAACTCAAATACCAAGATGTCAATTAAGTCAGTGGACATTGCTAATATCTTTTATGGAAAAAGAATAAGTTATCTAGGGTCTTACTTAGAATTTGGTAGAACTAAGGCTACATTTTTACTGACTGGCCTCTAGGGAGAAAAAAAACATTGTTCCCCCTAAAACGTAATTACAATGGCAATAATCTTATTTTTTTCATAGAAAGTTATATTGAATAGGTGAAGAAGGAAGGAGTATATAAGGGGAGCAACAAGGAGGGACAGTCCAGAGGAAGGCAAGGAAGGAGAGAGGGAAGAAAGGAGAGAGAGAGAGAGATGCCAACATACTCTCCAGCAGAAAGTAAGCTCTGCTTCTCATCTTTCTTTATTCGAGGACGTCCCAATTTCATGTTCAGAGGAGATGTTGGAGATTTCTGTGCTGAGGGCTGAATGAAATGTGCAAAAAGTTCTGTCTGCTTCAGTAAAAATTCAAATCTCTTGGCTCGGTCTGCTTTCTAATTTACAAAACAAAAGAAAAAGTAAGGATTTTCTTTTTTTTGTTCATTCAAAGTTATTCAACACTCATGTTGTACTTACTTTGTATAATGTTCTAAATACTTTAAACATTAACTCTCTTAAGAGTTAATTCTCTCAAGAAACCTATGAGGTAGTTACCCCATTTTACAGATGATAAAACTGAGGCACAGAAAAGGTAAGTAATTTGCCCAAGCTGCCACAACTAGTAAGTAGCAGAATTTGAAAATGATATTTTGAATAGAAGCCAAATGATCTGACAGACTTAGCAAATTCCCCAATAAGAAGTACCCTTCTTAAAGAGTCAGAATCAAAAAGCAAATCCTCTTTCTAAAACACAATTTTCTTTCCCTAAATAGCAACAAAACTGAGCATCAAATATACAACGTATCCCAAATGTAGAAATATATATTAACTATGATTCATTAATTATAAATTAATTAACCATAAACTGAACTCTAAAGAATTTTCAAGCCTCATCTGGAAATAAATGAAATCTTAGAATACAGTGTCATCTTGTCCCAAAATACTTTCAATGTCATGATACAATAATGTAATAAACGTTCCTCTCTTCAATTACAGTGATCTGGAAAATTGTATTTTATGCTAGCAGTATATAAAGTTACCCCCCAAAGCAAGCAGAATTTGGGAAAAATATATACACAGAGATATATATGCAAAATAGTTAATATATATTAACCATTAAAAGTTGAATGTAGGCCAGGCACGGTGGCT